TTCTTGACTGAACCATTGGTCCTTGACCTGCCATTGTTAATGCTTAACGGAGATTAGATTTGTTTACTTGAGAACAAAGAACCGTAGGATGATACCAGCCCATGTGGCTAAGAGCTCGGGGATTGAGGTAATAGATGAAAAAGAAAATATAGTTCAAAAGAAAGAGGGAAAGAAAACTGATATTTACTAGCCACCTATTATTTCTCAGGCACATGTAATTTTAATGTTGCCATTATCTGGTATCAAACTTGTATTTGTACATCCTCCCCTGCCCAAAGGAAAACAAATCAATTACATTTTACTATGCTGTACTGTGACTTTTGCAAGCACCTTCCTCTTCATGTTGGATGACTGAACTGGGCTTGCTTTGTGCACACTCTGGGGTTCTGTTCCTTGGAGAATGGAATATATGCTGTACTCTCTAGCTGCCGGCTGTATGCAACATCAGTGCTGAATATTGTCCTTTCAAAGACATGTGACTGAGTCTCTATTAAGTCCTTTTTTTCTAGCTTCTATCTTCCACATATTCTAGAGCAGTTTTTCAATGTAGGAAATATTTGAGAGCTTTTCCAAAACAATAAAACAGAAAAAAATTTGTCCAATTTCCTCACTATGAATTTATAAAAGTATGTGTGTGTATCCATAAATTGCCTGTCTTGAATTGATTTTGTGTGTGTGTATGTTGAGGAAAGAAAATTGTTATATTTATCAGTTTATCTTGGTTGGTAAATTTATTTTTAAATAAGTACACTAAAAACCAAGAAGTAGTTTCCTTTAAAAAAATTCCCTAAAGTTCTGAGTGCTTTGAATTTTTTGAGCTCTCAACCAGTACCATCTGTTGATTAAGTAACTGACTTTTGGACATCCTCATGAAGGGGTTGGGGCGGGGGCATTCCCCTTGAATTCTAGGAAGTGTTCCTTGGACATGATGTTTACTTCCTTTGATGTCACAATTTTTCTTGATAAATGTAAATATTTATTTTTAACGTGGTTGTTAAGACTTCTGCAATATTCTGTTTCAGTTCCTGTGTCAAATACTGGGTGGAGTAGAGGGGTTAATTTACGGATTGATACACTCACAGATTGAATGTTGAATTCATAAAAAGTGAACTTCATATTATTTTAAAATGGGTCTGGAACATAAGAGGACTTTTTGAAAAATAAAAACTGAAAAGCCATCCCCTCTAATATAAAGTACAAGTATATTCAAAGTCATATCAATAGTTTCTTTATCATCAATATTTTTGGATATTAGTACATGTTTATCAGTTGTGTCCTGTACTTGTGTTGAAACCCTTTGTCAATTGTATTGAATTCTCATAGGAACCCCATGAGGTATGCCTTGTTGCCTGATTTTGCAGATTTACAACACAGAGAAGTTTACAAAAACTTGTCAGGTCGGTAAGCAAGCAGATAACAGAGCAGGGACTTAAACCCAGGCCTGTCAGATTCTAAGGCCTGTGGGTGGCACAGGGCGGTTTTCAAATTGTGGCAGTTGTTGGCTGCTCTGGAGGCAAAGTGGGACTTGTTCATATATTTGTGTTTCTTAAGACAGTTTCAGTTAAAAGCTGTGCCGGATAACAGATAATATCTTAATTTCTAAAACATTTAAATAAATCAGAATGTCAATCTTCTCTGACTCTTCTCTCTGATCATAATATTCCTCCAACCCCAATCACACTCCCATTTTCCACAACCAAACATCCAATTTCTATATTTGTCAGGAGTTTGCTCACTTATTCATTCAACAAACATCCACGGTACTCTTATTATATAACAGACATTTTTCGAGGCCCTGAGGGGGAAAAATTGAAGTCACTGTGGTTGTGAAATTTATATTTGGATAGGTGAGAGAAAATAAACCCATATATACATATATACAAACATTATTACAAGTAAATTCAAATAGCAATAAATGTGAAGAAAAAGAATATAGTGGTGTCAGGACTAGAACATAAAAATAACTGACTTTTATTGAAAATATATTACTGGGCTCCTGGGTGGCTCAGTGGGTTAAGCCACTGCCTTCGGCTCAGGTCATGATCTCGGGGTCCTGGGATCAAGTCTTGCATCAGGTTCTCTGCTCAGCAGGGAGCCTGCTTCCCTCTCACTCTCTCTCTCTCTCTGCCTGCCTGTCTGCCTGCTTGTGATCTCTGCCTGTCAAATAAATAAATAAATAAAATCTTAAAAAATATATATATATTACTAGTGTCAGACACTGGTCTAGGTACTTTCCATAGATGAATTACTTAATTCGTACAAGATTCTATGTAGTAGATATGGTATCTGTGGTAGATTGAAGATGGTGGGAAATCATTGGCTACTCCTGAAATTGAGAGGTAGAGTTTATCTTCTCTTCCTATGAGTCTGAGCTGGCCTTAGTGTCTTGCTTGATGAATAAATAGGGCAGAAGAGACAATAGGGTAGGTCTGGACTTCAGCCTTTTTTCCTTTGGAACCTCGAGCTGCCATGTGAGAAGTCAGACTAAGGCTTCTGTGCTGTGAGAAAGCTCAAGCCATATAGAGAGGAGAGGTATAAAGTGAGCCTCAAGTCAGCTGTCAGCCCACAGTGGGAATGAAATATATTGGATGGCCAGCCCCGTCAAGCCTACTATCCAGTGAGTATCTGACCCCACGAAATAACCAACCCCAAATGTGACCCACCCAATGGAGTGTAGTCATTCATAGAAAAGTGAAGGATAATAATAAATCGCTGGCATAAGCCTACATGGTCTAAACCAAGTTTTGGGATGTTTTGTTATGCAGCCATGCATAATTAGAAAGATTATGATCTTCCTTTTATAAAGGAGAAAACCAAGGGAAAGAAACGCTGAGTGATCTGCTTGCGGAATGGTAGAATCGGCATTCAAACCCAGTCAGGGTGACCCTCAAGCTCCATTTTACATTTTATCCTATAAGCCTCACCCCTAGAGTGAAATCAGCATTCTCAGCGTGTCCCTGACTAAAGTCGGCAGTTAACATCTAGTTTACATTTCATTTTCTCCATTGAATCACAATGGTTGAAACTCAGGGCACACTGCCATTGGAATATGATTGCTCAGCGGGGTGCTTTTGCAAAGAGACCTTGCGGTGTCCTTGACCCGGAAGTATTATGTGGTCCAAGACCTTTTGTGGATTGGAATCTTAAGAAAAATAAGGAGAATATGGAGGAGATTGACCTGTGCTAATCTATAATCCTTTCATTGTGTTGTAAAATTATTAGAATTATTCAAGTGAAATAGGAAATTGCATGGCATTTTGATTAAAGAAAAGGAGCATGAAGTAATTTTGTTAAAATAAGGGCAAAATAATTGTCACTAAATCAGATTTCTTGGCATACAAATATGTTACATCCCGTGTCTAATACACAGAACTGATATTTGGGTGGGAAAGGAGTAACCGGATGTCTGTAGCATGATAGCATTCACCAGCAAGTGGCTGAGCCAGATGTTCCTTCCTCAGCAAGGAAGGACAGATAAAAGTACAATGTTTCCAAGCAAGCCCACAGCACATATTTCCAAAGCCGCTTTTCCTTAGAGTATTTACAGTTGAGTTTAGTTGTTTCCATTCTGAAGACTTTGTATACACAACAATGGAACAGCTCATGATAGCTCAAAGGAAAGAACTTTATAGATGCTGCACATTTACCCCCTCAAGCTTTCCAGGGGAAACTCCTGGTACTCTTGAAACTTTCCTGTCAGACAATTATACAATCCAGTGCCTTTTCCAAGCAGGAAATAAGATGTTCCAAAGACAGCTTGACCTCCCGTTTGAAAATGGTGGTGGTGGTGGAAGGGGGTGAGGTAGGGAGACAAAACAGGCATAGTCTAAGTATACTTAATTCATAGACCCACTCACAAATACAAACAAGTTAATTTTGTTAAGAACGCAAGATAACATTTCACTTAAGACAAAATCCCAATCATTTATTCTCCTCTGGAGTACTTCTTATGCATCCTTGAGTTTTTAAAAGTTCAAGTGTCGCATAAAAAATCAACATAATTACAGAAAGCAGTCCTTAAACAAGAATATCCTGTTTTGTTTCCTGCATACTCACTGGGGTGGCTCATCTGAATCCTTGACAACATCCAACTCCAAGAAGAAAACATCAAGACTGCTTGCTGATCTTGGTTTTTACATAGAGCTCCTCAGCAGTAGGGCTATTGGCCCCAACGTGTAAGCCAACAATCACCCTATTGTTTACTTTCCAGTCAGAAAAGTGATGCTGCTTTTCTTCACTCCGTATGGTCTCTATAATCCTAACAGTCATGTTCACTCAGCAGTAAGCCCGAATATATGTTTCCCAGAGGAGTTTCAAATACATGAGATAGATTAGCATCTCTGTGGCTTGATGCAATCTGCGACAGATTCGACAGTAATAAACATTTGAAAGTGTGGTCAGTACTAAATTATTTGCTGAAAAACAATTTTGTTCCTGAGGTAGAAAAAAAAAATTAGCAATAACTTTTGGGTAGTAAATACATTGGCTGAGGGATAATACAACACCCTGAACCTCTTGCCCTCTCGGCATTTCATTCTGTGTAAAGGGAGGGATAAAAGCCCAATTGTGTGCTGATGAATTAGAAAACTTCGTGAACATTCAAGAAATACACATGCCACTACAAATTAACCATTAGCAGGGCAAGGTATTCATCCTTTCTGTCAGATTCTGTGGGAAGTATGCCTTATTAGCATGGAAGCCCAAAGAAGTAATGTATCAGTCCATGTTCACTTATCCTACAAAAAAGAACAGGCAATCTCAGTTCTGGAAAAATAAATAGCATGGATCTTTCCACCCTCCCCAGGGCTGCAATCCTAAAATTGAAAATCGCTAAATGAAATCCTACTTCCCCTCAGCTTCCAGTTTGCCTGGGTGTTTACAATGGAACGCGGTTTTGCATTTTAAATCAGTTTCATCATAACCCTGAAAGTGATCACAGGGCTGCTAATTCTCCGTCTCCTGTTTCCACCACTACCAGCAACCCCCATCTTTTGAAGCTTTGAATTTGAATGGGACCAGAAGATTCTCTGGGGGTCATGTTTGTGGCCCTTGAGAAGCAGCCTCTCTACTGCTTTCAGCTGATTTCCTGGCATGTTTCGTGGGGATTTGTGGTGAGTGGCAGCTCTGGAGTCACTTTTCATTCTGTCAGGTTGTGGTTAGGCTTAGTGGGGTTTCTTTGTTATACTGGCCACTACTAGTCAATTCCCTTCAAAATATCTGGTTTTCTCTTTTCCCCTTGAAGAAAAAAGGAAAAAAAGAAAAACAAAACAAAACAAAACAAAAAAGCAAAAAACAGTTCCAGACTCTCCACCTTACCCCCAAAACACAAACACAAAACAAACATGGATATCCCTTGGAAATCCTGGGGGGGAGACAGAGAATGAGGAGAGGCCCAGATGTTCTCAACATCCCAATTTAATTTTGATGTCAGACTATAAAAGATCTTGGGAGGGCCCCATTTCCCGTACCTGCTCTGCTGACATGCTGTTTTATTAAAGAATCAGGGATAGATTTTACTATCGCTTTTTCATGTTAAAAACAAACTAAAATAAATCAAACACACAAAATGTGCATTTTTGAAGCCCAGTGTTTTCCTTCTCTTTCAGAATAAACCTGGAAAATAAGAAGTGAGTACGAACATTAGTTAAATAAAACAAACACGAAGGATCCCATTGAGATGGACTTTTCTATGGGCCCGGTGTGGGGGCGGGGAGGGATTTGGCACTTTAAATACATGTCGTCTTAAGCCAGAGCTTAACAGAGTTTTGTATTTCATGAATTACTTTGGGGGAAGGAAAGAAAAAGAGCAACATAAGGTTGCCAACATTTTATATTGCCAAGTCAGGCTATTTAAAACACACACACACACACAACTAACATTGAAATCTTACATCATTTCTTTAAAGAAAAGACATGTTAACATCAGTGGGGGGTGGGAGGAAGGAGCAAAGCCGTAATCTTAGAATACAAGACAGCCTTTACAAGAACGAAGCCTTGGCAATTTGTACACCAACATGCCACAAAGGCCTTCAGAAACAGCCAGTTCCTGAAACACACCATGCCTCTTCCCACCTTCTTGCCTTTGCACCAGCCGTTCCAGTGACTGGAAATCTATTCCCTGGGACACTGGCAGAGCTCTCCACTCAAATCCAACCACAAGAGGCGGGGCTTCTCTAACCACACTGTTTAAAGCCCCAGCCCCCAGACCCCGTGCCGGCAAACCCTCCTCTCCACTTCCATTTCTCTCCGTTTCCTTACTCGGCTTTAATCTTTGCCCAGTATTTGTGACTACATGGCTAGTGTTTGCTCATCTGTCTCTCCCGTTAACAACATAAAATACACAAGGTCGGGGGCTTTATATCATGTGTTTGCCCCTTTTTCTCCACTATCCCAAATATTGCTGGCACCTGTGAGGCACTCTGTACTTATTCGTTCCATTTATAGATGCATATAATTTCATGGTCCTTATTGTCCTCATATTAGAAAAGAGGACCACAGTGCCTGCATTGCTTGGTGTACGGAAAGTATTGTTTTAAGAGAAAGATTGGGAGCTCCTGGCTGGCTCAGTGGGTTGAGCCTCTGTCTTCAGCTCAGGTCATGGTCTCAGGGTCCTGGGATGGAGCCCTGCATCAGGCTCTCTGCTCAGCAAGGAGCCTGCTTCCCCATCTCCCTCTGCCTGCCTCTCTGCCTACTTGTGATCTCTGTCTGCCAAATAAATAAATAAAATCTTAAGAGAGAGAGAAAGAGAGATTGAAGAATGCTTTAGTCATAGATGAGGATGCCCTTGAAGGAAGTAGACATTTGACGCATGCGTTCTTTAGGCAATTGATTTTACCCAATAGGAGTGAGGGTTGTGCTTCTGATGGGCAAGGCACTGAGGGTAGGCTGAAATCCTGCCCCACTACTGATTTAGGGACAAGGAGTACTCTTTGAGCAGATTTAAGCTGTATTTATACCCTCTTCCTCCCTTCCCAAATTACTGAATAGTCTAAGTTTGGCTCCTTGGTGCCTCTTGGATTGTGTACGCAATTAAAAAAATATATATATTTTTAAGATATTCCATTTTTTTATTTTACAGAGAGAGAGAGAGTACAAGTAGGCAGAGAGGCAGGCAGAGAGAGAGAGGGGGAAGCAGGCTCCCCGCTGAGCAGAGAGCCCAATGTGGGGCTCGATCCCAGGACCCTGAGACAATGACCTGAGCCAAAGGCAGAGGCTTAACCCACTGAGCCACCCAGGCGCCCCCCAATTTTTTTTAAACAAGAGAATGTTTTCCAAAACTAAGAGACTACAAGAATGCAAATATCTACTGGATTAAAAAAAGAAGTAACAGTAGCATCCACGTGACAGCACCATTAGTTATTGTCTGTCACTGTTACTCACAGTGAAGTAGTGAAACCAGGAAGTTAGGTCCATAGACAGGCCTTACTACCAAGAACAGCGGGGAGTTGGAGACAAAGCTGCTTTTGGAATGCATTATGGAGAGTTCACAAATGTAGGGAGTAGGACTCAAAAGTGTATTTTCTAAGATTTTGTGCCATCTGGGATCCTGGGTCGGTGACTCTGATTTTTTTTTTTTTCTCAAAAAATACCACTTAATGGCACGTGGGGCTCATTTTGGCATAAATTTTCTTTCCCTGAAAAATAATGAGTCCAAAATGTACCTAATGCACTTTGCATAGATTTGTTTTTGTTTTTGTTTTTAATTTGGGTACAATATTTGGTGTGACACCAAATACCTCTTGGTGCCACACTACTGAGTAGCAGTTACAGGTTGTAACATGACGGTGTACAAATAAGTGAGATCTGGCAATTGGTGAAGAAAACGAGAGTTTAGAGTACAAGCGTGAGTGTGTGTGCATGCACGCGTGTGTGTTTGTGTTCAGTGTATGTATGTGATAGGGTTAACATATGTCGGTTATTATAAGAACGATGATGGGATTAAAGGAAAGTGTAAAAACGTTGATCTTTTGAAGTTCCTTTCTTCCTCTCTCTCTGTCTGTCTTTCTGTGTCTCTCTTTTCTTTTATGCTACAGAATGGAATGGAGCAGGGGGGATTTAGAAAGCCTCTGCTGATTAATCCATCATATTCTGACAACTGAATTCCCAGAAACAGTGTATCACACTTTCGCATAAAGTGTCGTTTTGACTGGAATTTTTCAAGTTCCAGGCTCTGAAGTCCTCAGAGGAAGACTGCCCCATAGTGGGGCCTCAAATAATAGTAGTTTCTAGTGTTGTTATTAATTACTCGCATTAAAAAGGCAAGGATTTCAGTGTCTGAGGAGCCAATTCCTCCATCTCAATACTACCTCAATTATTGTGTCAGAGAATGTTCCGGAAGAAGCAAAGTTTGATGATGCTTGGACTTTTATACTGAAGGCTAAGAATAAAAACATTTACTGTTTAAAAAAAAAATCAGAAAAGTGAGATTTGGGTCCATCACCTCACCAATGAACTTATTTTACAATTGTATATCCCAAAGATTAAAAATGAAACCGAAGCCTAACTTCACTGATATTTGAAATAAAAATGTGCACTTACTTTTCAAAACTGCCCTGGCACAACGATAGAGGCAGTTATTTTTGGTAAAAGTGGACTGTGGACAGAGTAGCTGGTGAAAATTGCTTTTAAGTATTCACGTAGGACAAAAACCTTCCTGGCACTAAGAAGTCTCAATTGGTTTTTTAGCTGCACTGTGGTTTATTGTGTGCTTTAAATCAACTCTAAGACTGCACTACATACCATTGTGTCTGTTAGAAAATCATTATGGGGCAATTAAAAGCAATGTTGTTTCACAGATGAACATGGAATTTTCCTCTGTGTCTGACGGCTGTGCACTTCCTTCGTGCCTCTTGTGATGCTCTATATTTGTGATGGCAAGAGATACAGCTGTCTGGAAAACACTCAACAGATGGCCTTTGGGGGATGATGCTTCATCCTTTTTTGCAGGCTCTCGGACACCTAAGCTCAGGATTTCCGTAAGTGCTGGTGAGCAATGGACTCCTTTCGAGAAACATGCGTTTGGAATGTTCAGTGACAAAATTCATCCTCCTCCAAAAAAATGAGAAGAAACTGAGGTGTCCATATGAAATGAATGTGCACTATCATACTCAAATGTATTGTCCTTGGAAACTTTGTAACCAGTACGGAGAAAAGCAAGTAACTAGATAGAGAGCCTGATACTGTTGGGTAGATGGATAGATCGCTTTTCTTTCAGCAGGAGAGTGAGGCAAGATCAATCAGTTCTTTCATTTTTGTGAAGCTCTTTAAAGATTGGCTTTATATTTTTTAGAAAGAGCAATTTAACCTTGGCTTCAGTAATGACACGACTTGTTGAATGACTTAATCTCTGATGAAATTAGTCTGAGTGGTTTAAGAATTAATTAAGTGGTTTCTTTTTACATTTCAGGTAGCATTTTGCCGTGAAATACTTATGCTTCTATCTTTGTTATTTATACAGCACGTGGATGTGTAGAACATTATTATGGGGACGGGAAAATAAGAGGAAGTTGATTGACAAAGATTCGAAACACTGCACTGAACGATTCTTGTAGTTGTGCTAGATTATCAGTATTCAGAATCTGTGTTACAGAATCCATTATAAATTATGACCGACTCATGTTTCTTCCTCTTAAGGACACAAACTCTTATAGTTCTAAAGCCTCATTTCTGTCCAGGGAATGTTCTGGGTTATCTGGATGTATATTTTTTAACACAATGATAAGACAGTATTGAAGAATAGGTATATATCGTGCTTCTGTGCTCTAGACAACGTCCTGAGCATGCCTGCCTTGCCCTCAATCCCCCTCTATTGCTACTAAATAATATTTGACTATCTTCAGTTTGACCTGAATGTGAGTGTAAGCCAATAAAATCTTAAAAGCAGCAAACATGAGGATAACCATGTCCCAGAGGGTTAAATTTAATTTTGTGAAAATTGTCTTTTCTTTTTCGTGTTAGCAAAATCATGTCCAGCAGTTCACAGAGATTTGTATTTCTTCTAAAACATGACACTGTGACATTAGTGACATTTTCTATTTGTCTATTTATGTCCCCAAAGCCATATACGTTTTCTGTTAATATATTTGCAAGTTGGTCTCGCTGGTTGGTCTCAGAAAGATTTCCAGTGGATAAAACATGTGGAATGAGAAGCTATAAAAAGAAGTCTTTTTAGGAAATGCCTAGCAAAGCAGGGAAGGAGAAGAAGCTGTAGGAAACATGGTAAACTGCATAGTAAAATTTTGAAACACGTTATATGTGTTTTGGAACAAAATCAACATTTCACTTATTTTAAGAGGTTATTATGTGCCAGCTATGATGATAACTACTTATTTTATTATTTTATTCTCACACATATATGAGATTGGCACTATTATTGCCACAGCACTAATGAGCAAGTGGTGGCCAATAGCTGATAAATATGTTACTAAGGTCACACAATAAGAAGATCTTCCAAGTCCTCAGAGTTCATTACAAGAGTATAATTGTTTCTTCACTGAAGAAAATAGTGCATCATGCGTATAAGATATTCCCTGGTATTCTTATTGGATATACATGCCATTTAATAGAACAATGGAAAGGTAGATTTGTTCTTATGATAAAATTCATCTGTATAACTTTTTAAAATAACACAATTCCGATAAAAAAGAAGTTTGACAGATATAAAAATGTGTGTCTTTCATCTTTTTATCATTATTTTAAAAAAATATGTGCTCTTGGGGCAGGTGGGTGGGCTCGGGTGGTTAAGCGTCTGCCTTTGGCTGAGATTATGATCCCAGGGTCCTGGTATTGAGCCCCACATCAGGCTGCCTGCTCAGCGGAGAGCCTGTTTCCCCCTCTCCCTCTGCCTGCCTCTCTGCCTACTTGTGATCTCTCTCTCTGTCAAGTAAATAAATAAAATCTTTTTTTTTTAAAAGAACATAAATTTAAAAAAATAAAAATATGTGTTCTTTTAAACTTTCAGGTATTTTTAAAATAAGTAGAGCACTCATGAAAATTTTTTTCCTCCAAATTTCATTTGTTCTGACTGATGCAAAAATAATTTTATGACATCTTTTAATAGAAATGAAAAGAAAATTCTTTCTTTCATCTGTTGAGTGAAATGAGTCTGTAAGTATAACTACTCAGAACACTTTAGAGACCCTCTTTCTACTGTCTATAGAAAGTAATATGTTTCCAGCAGAGACAAGTGTCGGAATGACATGACAGGGTACATTTTCAAAATAAGCATATCATAAAAATGATCGGTAGACTGTATATTCAGGGGAGGGGAAAAGAATACGTAGTTGAGATGCTCTGTGTTTACCTCCAGAATCTTGCCACGACACTGGCAGCTAGTACGACCCCGTCATGACAGGTCCAATGCTTGGGTGGATAATATAAACCCACAGTGGGCCAAGGTACCATGAAAGCACATGCGGCATAAAGATAAAGACCATTGTCTTATGACACGGCTTGCACTCGTGAGTGTACTTAGTACTCTAAAGCTGAGCCGTGCGGGGAGTGGATAGCACAGCTATAATTGCCATTTGATATGATTCTGCCACCTAATTCAAGTAGATGAGAAGGGTCTAATTTTTCTAACGGTCCTGCAACCTTACTTTACAGCATCTATTACTGTACGGCATCTATTACTGTACAGTTTTAGTTTTGAATAAGTATGAGCTTTATCTTGGGTTACGATGTTCACATCCCCATAAGTAACAGGAGGATCAATAGTAAAAAGAAACCAGCAAATTGTAGGCTTTGCAGTAAATCTGAGGTATTAGGTGGACATAATTTAAACAGTTGTTTTTCTTTTCCTGAAGAATAAACACATAATAGAAGAAAAAAAAACTGAGGCTCTAAAGGGATTATGCATTCCTAAATATTTTATAGCTGTGTTAAATGCAATGTTGTGCTTTAGTTCCACTGCTGAATATTTGCTGATGATCGTTTACTCACCAACTGAAAACCCAAAAGATGTTGTTTGAGGTTTTTTGTGCGGTTTCAGCCTTGGCCCTTCTCTCAGTGTTTTCGCTGCATGATTGTAAAGAGCAACTCTTTGCATGTGAGAAGACAGATGCTGGTGATTTAAGCAGGGAACACACCACAGTGCTTTTACTCAGCTGATATTTAATGATTTAGCATTTAATGTAGTTCATCTTTCAAAACCCTGAGTTCAAACAGAATCAGCCGCTATTAGGGACGCAGTAATACTGAACTTCCCACCAATGACCTGGGAGAGCTTCTTTTGTAGTTTTAGCTACTGGACCCAACTGGCCTTTGCACCAAGCATGATAATGGAAGGAGAGAAATAGATTGCTTCCCGTCAATAGCATCCTGGACAGAATGTATAATTATGCCACATAAAGATTCTCAAATCAAAACTCCTTGTGTTAACATCACTGCAGTGTTGGAGGATGAAACAACACACTTTATCTCATAAGCAAAAGAACACTGAGAAAACATGGAAAATCATGCTGAGTTGAAGTCAGTGAAAAGGGTAGAGGTGTCTCCTACTGCAAACCTAGAAGATGAACTCATTTTCTTATAATTTTGACTTGATTTTATTATTGTGGGAGGTTTTTGGTAAGGTATTTGAAAAGGCTTCTTTCCTCCAATTTTAGAAGGTATCTAGATAGATATAGAGATATAGACATTTACATAGGTGGATGGATTGTTGATAGAGGACAGATAGACAACTTAAAACAACAACTTAACAACAACTTAAAACGACAACAACAACAACAAAAAGCCTCTCACAAAAACTGAAGCATAGGAGACATGAGATTGAAGTCTTTAGGAGGAAGGATGATATCTAATATGCTGATGAGAATTATGATATTAATGTTTTCAGAGTGCTTTAAATGTGTATTTCCTATCTAAAGCATTATCTAATTTAATTATCTGTTTTCACTTTGGCATTATTGGTAAGTGATCAAAAAGCAGATTATAGGCCAGTGGTTTCTTTTCTCTTTCTCTTTTTTCTTTCTGTTTTTCTTTCCTTGTCTGTATATAATTTTAATATCTGTAAATGAGTATTTACAAGAAAAGAAAAGGATTATGATCTTTCATTACAATCACAGGCCTACTGACAAAAACATTGCCTAGTTATGAGTGCATTTACTTTCTGGACTGCTTAGGGTAGACGAAGAATACTTTCCTTTTCCAGTAACATATTTCTAGAAGACAGTGAAGGCAGGTAGACCTTCACTGGTGAGATGCTTTCACTGTGAGACACATACTTTAGTGGTGTCAACTCTGATGGGATTAGATGAACTGAAACTATAGGATGGACTCTCTCTGCCTCTTGACAGCATTTTTCGTTTATAAAGTGAGTCAGGTCTCTCCTCAAGGGATTTTCCGGTTTAAAGGTGTTTCTTCAGGGGTGCCTGGGTGGCTCAGTGGGTTAAGCCACTGCCTGAGCCATGCTCAGGCCATGATCTCAGGGTCCTGGGATCGAACCCTGCATTGGGTTCTCTGCTCAGTGGGGAGCTGCTTCCCCCTCTCTCTGCCTGCCTCTCTGCCTGCTTGTGATCTCTCTCTCTGTCAAATAAATAAATAAAATCTTAAAAAAAAAAAAAAGTTTCTTCAAAGGCTTTGCCCATGGTTCCAGAAAGCATTTGTATTTACCTCTATGCGTCATTTGAAAACACAGTCCTAGAGGTATTCATGCATTTTCCAAAGTTTAAGGATGCTTAGTATTTTGGATTCGTCATTCAGCAAGTAATAGATCATTTGCATAGCATTCATAATTATGCAATTATGACATTTAAAAAGATAAAGAAGATTTTCTTCATGAGGTTGCTGCTCAACAGTCCCAAAAAGTGTAAATGTGCTCTACCTTACATTTTACCATTGTAAAGGTGTTGATCAAAAGTTTCTTTGTCCACTTTTTTTATTTTTTCAAGGTGCCCCTCTTTGTCCACTTTTGAGGCGGACTTCCACTGCCTGGTCTGGCCCTGGCTCCCAGTGTCCAGGATCCCTGCATTCTCCGCCTCAGCATTATTTGTGGAGAAAACATTTCAATTGTTTATTTATTTGTGGCTCCTGACAGAACCCTATGTGGGGAAAATGGCTACATTAGTGTAGGGAATTGGGTCAAAATTATTATGATTTCATTTAAAAAGGAAAGATCGAAGTATATATTCTAACTTGGAACTGTTTAGGTAAATTGCCACAGTTTGGAAAACAGGTATAATGGATCAACTTCAACAAGTTAGAAAGTTTGACTTGGAATCCTATCCAAATTCATTTTTTCGGCTTGAATACAGACAAGTATTTTATGAGGATTTTATTTCCCTATTTGCTCAATTCCAAGATTTATAGGAGTTCTAATTGGAACCATGGCAGAAATGCCACCACAAAACCAGTGGGGGGTTTTCTCCACAAAATTTTATTGTAATTGTTTCCAGGCCCAAGGGCATTTTATCATGTGGAAATATATATTTTAAAATAGCATTTCAAATTTATTTAGTCTTCAAAATTTTCAAAATAAAAATCCATTTTTCGATTGTTTTTAGAGGGGGAGATGTTATGGTTCATTTTATTTTGATTAGTCCTAACATATTTGTTGGATAACCAGGTGTTGGACACAATGTTTTCACAAATAGCTAGAATGGTTTTCAGTCTTTAGTGAGCTGGATTATTCAGGTGAATGTGTTTAGAGCACTTAAAGAAACTGAACATTTCCAAATTGTCTGTTACTATGAGCTGTTTCCAAGTGAGCCTCTTAAAACAAGTTCTTTTTAAAAAGGGAAAAAAAAGTAAATGTGTATTGTTATGGAAAGAAAGTGTCTAAATGGTGCCACCTTTGACTGAAGGTTGCCCTTAGGCTAATATAAACATCTTTTTTTTTTTTTTTAAAGATTTTATTTATTTTACAGAGAATGATCACAAGTAGAGAGAGAGGAGGAAGCAGGCTCCCTGCCTAGCAGAGAGCCCTATGTGGGACTTGATCCCAGGACCCTGAGATCATGACCTGAGCTGAAGGCAGAGTCTTTTTTTAACCCACTGAGCCACCCATGCAGCCCCCCTTAGGCTAATATAAACTGAAATCTCCTAAAGCAGTTTGGGGATTACTGATTTATTTTAAACAACAACAACAACAAAACTTGCAAGAAAGAGAAACAAAGAACCAGACTCTTAACTACTGAGAACAAACTGATAGTTACCAGAGAGGAGGAGTCGGGGTGGGGGGGGGGGGAGAATGGGTGAAAGAGGTAAAGGGGATTAAGCATACATTTATTGTGATGAGCACTGAGTAATGGATAGAATTGTTGAATCACTATCTTGTGCACCTGAAACTAATATAACACTATATATTAATTAAACTTGAATTAAAAAAAAACACCAAAAACCCTTGAATTAAGAAAAATAAAAAGTCACCAGATCCCACAATGACAACATTCAAATTAGAAAAGGTTAGAAATATATCAGATTTTCTTAATGAAATGACCTATCAACCTTAGTAGCAAGAAAATCATGTCTGGAACTCTTATTATGAAATAATAAGCCAACATTTCTAAGGGAGGATAATAGACCCTAATAGAAGAAGTAGAGGCTGGTCACAGATTTTCTATCTACTCTGACCTTAAATAATGTCATTCTGTCCAAAACCGGTAACATGATGCTATATTACTAAAGGACTTACAGAGAAAAACAATTCATTCAAAGAGTTTGAAGTAAAGCATTATTGACATAAGAAGGAAAATAGATCTTACTTCTCTTACTCTTTTCTAAAGGCCTAGGTAAGATTTATATTAGGACCCAATGGAATATTTTGAGGGAAAATTACAAAAGAAATTGTTAAAAAAAGGTACCTAGTGGAAACTTCTGAAAATCATTCTGTAAAATGATAGTTAAAGTTAATGACCAAAAATCCATCATTTCCCTCATAATAAATTATCAATTTAGAATTGAATGATGGCAATTGAAGTATTTTTCTTATCAAAATGTGAGTTTTAAAAAAAAATTACATTTAATAATCCCCATTAATCCCCATCCCTTTTAGAGGGACAAAAAAATACTATAGTGGTCCTCATGGATCACAACAGATTCTTCTGTAATTGTAGAACACAATTCAGGAATATTTAAATTGTGTTTTATAGAGAAAATATAATGAGGAAGTAAAAGAAGATACATGTTGTACCTGGAAAAAAGCATGGCACGAAAATCTCTTTAATTCTTAAAACAATGATTCTTAATGCATGTTCTAAAGACCACTTGCCTGAGAATTACCTGGGATACTTTTGAGAAATGCCACAAATTTCTGGGCTCGGTGCCAGATCTACTGAGCCTGATTCTAAGGGAATGAAATTCAGAACCTGTTTTACTACATACATGGTCACAGGTTCCTAGGTACGGACAACCTGGACAACCTTCAGAATCACTCTCGTAATGGCACGTCTTCAGGCTATATGATCACTTAGGACCACTGGCCAAATCAAAGCAAACCAGTGGGATTAGGTGAACTCTGAAACATGTGGAATAAAGAGAAACTGAATGTTTTCTGTTGCATCCTTAAATTTTGGTAGGTTATCTTGCACATGGTAGACACTCACTAATGTATGTGAAGTGAATAGATAAATGGAATTTTATCCATTGAATACAAAATAGATATGTTAGAATAGAAGATCACAATTAGAAATGTTTAAAGGAAACTGATTATTTTATTTACTACAAATGTATAGGAATATTTGGAATATAGAAGATAAATAAATTACGAGGAGGTAAGAAGTGAGGGATGAGGGGACAGACCAAAATACAACTAGAAACTCTTTAGAAAGTTCCTGCTAATATAAGAATTAGAGAAGTTGAATTTGCTAGCTATTTATTTTCTTAACTCTTACTACTCTTAATCAGGAAGTTTATTTAGGGTACCACAGTGTAGTTTATATTTTTAGGGATAAATTAATTACACTTAAAATCAAGAACATGAATGTTCTTACCCTTACATAGTTACTGCAAGTAAGATTACTTCCTTTTAGCAACGAGAAAAATGAGAAACTAACTTTTACATGTTTCTTCATTTACTTATTCATTCAGCAAATACTTACTGATTGCTGACTACTCTGTGCATAGTTAAGTATGTTCCCTGGCCATTAAAAGCTCTTAGCTCAAAGTATTGAGAGGAATGACTAAATCACATGACAGAGGGATAAGGGCAAAGAGAGGTCTTTAAACATGTCATGTCATATTTTGTAGATGATTAGCAGTGTATCAGGGGCTATAAGTTTCTTTCTAAAACCTCTGCATGAGTCTGCTTGGAGACCACATAATTTGATAGGTAAATACTTATTGAAGGTGAAAATCAAGGACTAGTTGCAGGAACCCTGTCTCTGTTGGTATTTCTGGGCTAGCCCAGAAGGAAACATTCCCCTCTCTATCACAGATGGTTACCCACTGAAGTCAGATGCTCTGATTTGGGTCATACTCATTGGGAGTATTTGTGAGCAAAAGGCATTAGCATGTACATCAAATTCTGTCTTTGTTGAAGTGAGCTGTCAGAGCCTTAATAAACATGAACTCGAGTGTTTACAGACCATCATTAAGCATTGCAGCAATATTTCCCCTTCCTCTTATCATATCTTTGTTAAGTTCACCTCCTTCCCCACTATTGTTAAACTGGGTGTGTCCACATCCTGCTTCTATTGTAATATCGACTTAACCTCTTTGATGGTTGTGTCTACTTAATGAATGGACCAGCCCCTAACTGCTGAGGCCACCATTGCATAATTTTAACAAAGAGATTATATAAACATACAAGCCGGTGTCTCTTAATTAAGGATGTGACGGTTAGATGAAGGTATTTGGCAATAATTGAAATCAGTAAGTCATTAAAAATTCTTCCGTGATACTACTAATTTGTTTGTAATAGCCTTGTAATTGCAGCATATTAAACAAAGACGAATGTGGGCTGGCCTACATGTAAAAAGTATCTGTCTTGTGTTTTCCAGCCAGCCACAATTATAATTTCTACTTCTGGTACAGCTGAAATAAGGACTAAGGAGAGAAAGCTACATCCCGTGCCTTTGGCTGACAGGCTTCTAACGTACAGGTGCCTTTCCTGAAGGGTGGTCTTCCTTCGCACAATGTTTGTTGTCAGTTGGTAACATTGTGTAGTCTAGGAGAAATCCCAGAGATGCAGGTGCCTTATGAATACCCAGATGGGAAATGGAAGATGATCAGACTTCCTCTTAGACCCTATGAGTCAAAGGAATGACAAAAGATTTTCCTTTGAAACGTGGAGAGCGACTGAATCTAAAATGTCTCGTATACAAATGACGATAATTCCTTGCACAAGCCTCTTTCTTAAAGACACGAAACCTGTCTGCTAGAGCTTTTCCCCAAACCAAAATGCAGGCAGAGTCTGTGATGAGACTCAGCAGCTGTTTAACAGTGCCAGCACTCACGAACTTCCACAACGCTTCCTTCAAGCCAAAAGAAAACAACAACAACAAAAAAAACCCAACAAAAAACCCCCAAGCCTCCAAAGAGCTCACTTTGAATGCATTCACCACCGACTCAGAGGGAACAGTGCCCCCTGTTGAACCACGGCCTCAGTAATCTCAGCACCTGACGGGTCCTTCCCAGGCTCCCTTGCAACTGACCCACTAGCACATCCTGTCTCCCTCAGAGAGCTGGCTCTAACAGAGCTCTGAGGTGGTCCGAAGTTCACGTGTAAGCGTGCTCATATCATGCTCTATAATTTGAGGAAAACACATGAATTTTAATCAGTTTTTAAAACAACCAGGCCTCTCTTCTCATTTACTAGAATGGAAAAAATTTCACTTTTATTACCTTAAAGATGCCAAACAGTGCCATTTTATTACTGTGGGAAGCTGGAAGTCATTTCCGAACTCTTTTGGCAAGGGTGCTATGTAGAGCATCCAATTCAGCCCTTTAAGTGTCTTCTGAGAACCACCACACAAACTGTGATTTACTGTCTTCAGGAGTTAAAGGGACTCTTTCTACCCTGAAACCGAAGAAAGAAAGGTGAAGTGTGTTTAAGAGGTGTCCCATGAGACTTGCAAGAATATGAGTCAGTGCAGAGCAGGCCAGACATAGAGAATGTTTTGATAACCCACAAACATTTTCCAACTTGTAATTTTTAATTTGGTTTAAAAGTTTACGTTGGTACCCTTCAAAAATTGTGAGGACTTTTTGTGCATGAGTCCATCCGTCTTAGGCCACTGAGACAAACTTCTTACCCTCAGTGGCTCTGTTTTCTTGCTGTTTGCATCCTGTAGAGGTTTAGGAACACATCTACTGTGAATATATAGTGTCAAAGTTTTAAAAATATTTAAATATATAAAATACATATGCATATATATTCTTATATATTTGTATATACATATAAAACATGTATGCATATACAAATATATATTTTATCTATTTGTATTTATTTATACACACACATATTTACATACATACACACACACACACACACACACACACTCCGATTCTGTGACAGTGCCTAAATTTTATAAACAAATATTTGGCCCAAACAAGAGTGGAGATTTTGCATATTTTCTCATTTACATAACCAAAAGATGGCAACACTCCAGTTACCTCTCTTGCCATTCAGTAGCAACCAACAACAATTTGAATTTATGTGTTCTAAAGCTGACTCAGATCTCTAATAGTTTAAAATTATATAAGCTGCAGACTACTATTGCTCTTAATTAAAATAAACTCCCACACATGTATATTTTGCCCCCAATGTTATTTTATTTGGAGTCTTTGACCGGCTAGTTTGTGTAGTCATAAACACTAGGTCATTGAGGGCAAAAACATAGTGAGAGAGAAACAAGATATTTAACCACTAGTCAGAAAATACATTACACTGTGGTGCCTGACAAAGAGTAGGCTCGCTATCGACATCTGAAGAAATAATTGAAGGGATAAATTATACCACTTTGGAAAAATAATTAGTCTATCAGATAAAAAATGAAAAGCTGTTTAATAGTGTCAAAGGAAATCCAGTAAACTCTTTTTCTTGACTAAAATCAGGAAACTGTTGACTTCAAGTAAAAGACCAATCTTTACTTGCCTTTATATTTTTAAGCTTTGGCTAGTAATTGTCCAGTGCAGTTCTCCAAGCGGTGGCTATATCTCTGGTTATAAACAGCCCCAAATCCTATGTGGAGAAATTTTTCTCTGGTAATTCTACTCTAAACAGAGAATTATATTCATAAATGGTATCAGAAAGGCATCTGAAGGTAGCTTGTGATTTCTGTGGGTTTTGGGGGGAGGCGAAATTAATGTTTTCTTACAATGTTGTGATTATTAATGAGGAAAACATTATTTTTTTTCCTTGCTCTGACAGGTAGGTAAATATAATCTGCCATTTGGAATGGCATGATATTAAAATATCGAGATATTATGTGGGTTATTCCTTGTTAGGACCAGGATGAAATATCTGTTGTGAAGTAGAAGATTCACACTTGGCAGTAGTTTAGGATTTCAAGCTATTTTCGTTGCTAAAATCTTGTAGGGGTAACAGAGGCCAAATCTTCAAGGAGCACCTGCCAGGCAAATGGTGGAGAAAAGTAGGGAGTAGCTGAAGCTAGGAAGCCAAGAGTGTGATGCATCTCTTCTATCCAAAGGTATCTAGGGTGTCTGACTTCAGAGGAGTGAAATCCAGCCCCAAAACCCAAAATTTCCAAGAGCAAATTTACCACTAACTTGCTGAATCATAGTTAATGACTACTGAAAGGAAACACTAGCAGAAAGAACAGTATTCAAAAGTAAGATAGTAAAATGGATTTTGTTTGAAGACATACACCCAAGAAGCTCTGTTCATTTGAAGTTTGGCCCATCCATTGGACGGATCCATGAATTTCCTGTCTGTATGTGTTAGGTGTCCTTTTCTATTTCCACCCATGCATCTCTCATCCATCTTTCATCCAATCATCTCTCCCTTTCAACCAAGTATTTACACACTGTTTTCTTTATTCGTTCCTTCATTCGTCAATGCCACCTGTTTTGGGTGCCTTCTACATGACGAGCGCTACTACCAGTGACCAAATGATGTGAAAGACGGAGTGCCTTCCCTCAAAATGCTTCGAGTCCGGTTGGAGAAAAAGTTAAGTGTATCAGTACAGCCCAGTGTGACAGATCCCATTACGGCACGACTCTGGGAGGACAGAGCGGCTTGTAAATCACACTGATGACTCCGGGAAGGTGAATGATAAAGCCAGATTTTAAAAGATAAGCAAGAAGAATGAGGTAGCTAGGGAAGAGAAAAGGTAATTCTGGACAAAAGCTATGCATATGTAAAACATGTTCTTAATAATTGGTATTCATTTATATTCGCAGCATAATCATGTAATGAAATGCCACTCCTTTACGTACAATGTGATTTAATGATTCGATTAACAATGACCTGGGGAAGCAATAGAGCTGGTGGTTATTTATACTGTCTCTGGAACCAGACAACTTGGTCTAAATCCTGGCTCTTTCCCTTTCTAGCTGATAACCTGGGGGGAAATTACTCCACATCTCTTAGACTCAATTGCTCTTTCTTCAAATTGGAATAATAACATTATGTCCTGTCCTGTATAGTGACTATTAAATTAACTTATGCAAGAAATACACCCGTATCTGTCATGAAATAATCTCTCAGTGTATGTTAGTTAGAATGGTATTTTTCCTTGGCTAAAATTATCGTACTGATAAGAATAGTGCTGAAAATGACAAGAGTTTTTGTTCTGTTTTTAACCTTTTGAAGGTACGTCTGAGAGCTCTCAGGAGCTGAGATTTACTACGTTCAGAAGCCCAAAGAGATTTTGCCTTTTCTAAAACTTGAAACTGCTCGCAGCACGAGGGAGAAGACACTGGAGCTTCGTTTCAATGCCCTGAGTTCCAATTTCATCTCTGCTGCCTTCTAGGGTCTTGGACAAGTTGCTTGATGCCTGTGCCTCATTTTCTTATCATGCAAGGAGACGCTAACGACGCCAAGATCTCCCTCAGGGAGGACTCAACGGGATAACAGGTTTAAGTGTGGCTAGCTTCAACCCAACGCTTTCTTCCATCCTCCCCAACCCCTTGAGAATGCTTAGAGAAGGCATAATGGCTAATCTAAGGACTGTGAAAAACATCTCTCCCAAAATACTTTCTATAGTTTGAGAGATCACATATAAATATTCTCTTCTGCATTCGCTAACTCTGGAAAACACTCTCGAATATTACTGCTGACTTTGATAGGCCGCCTTTGCAGCTTTGCCAGAACTTGCTCTGGTGGCTGCTATTCATAGAATGCCCTTGGATAATGTGATAGGTTGAATTCGAATTACTCCTCCAATCATTTCGGCAGGAGTGATAATGGCAACTAAAATGGTCATCTGGAGAATGAACTGAGCGTGGACATCTTCTAATAAAATCTCTCTCTCTCTCTCTCTTTTGTCCTTAGAATAACCCAAAAACACATAATATAGTGCTACTTGAATAAGTAAGCATTAAACATGCTAACATAAGATGACTTTCCTGTAGGTAGATAATATATACCTTAAAAGACTGCTGATCTCAGGGGGCATACAAATACAAAATAGCTTTTTTCCCCAAAACCTAAACCACAGGAAAACAGATGTTGCACTAGATCTTTCCTGGAATTATTTTTTAGTTGGCAATATTGTTTTAAGGCTGAGAGCCCACCCTACCCAAGCAGTATATACAGTCTACTTTTAAATAAATTCAGCCTATCATCATATTGCTAATGCTATTAAAATCTCTGGTCTCTCCAACATCTTTTCTTCTTTCTTCCCCCCGCATCCTTATTACTTAATACTGTCACATCTAAGGCCAGGGCTCCTTAGTCTGCCTGAAGGAATACAGAAGTACCAGGCTGGCATAGCTTCTATTTTATTAATTTTTTTTTCTTGCCTGCAACCTGATTTCTTCTGGGTCTGACCTAATTCCTTTGATGCCTGGGGCTTGGAGGCCTGCGCTAATCTGCATCAGGGATATGTGGAGAAAAGCGAGACAATTGAGAGAAAAGTAAGCAAAAAAGGAATGGCACCTGGGCAGGGGGACCCTTCAAAATCAAAATAAGCATTTTGAAGGCAGGACATTTCTGTTCTACCCCATCCTTTAAAGAGGAAACTACATTTACTGCATGGCCTCAAATATACATTTCCCCCTTCTTTCTGATTCTTTAAACCCTGTTATGACCAGGACAAATCAGGCAGAGGCATATGTTAATTGTTAGCATCGTACAATAAATTCCGGTGTAAGGAAAATGCCCGTTTATGAAAAAGAAGTCATCTTCTAGAAGTCAGATTGAAAGAAATCATGTGTGCTGACTTTGATGGACAGATTATGCAATAGTCTAAGCTTTGTTACTAAGCTCTGGAACGTGCTGATATTGAGAGTTCTTTAGACCTGTCCATGAACTTATTGCTCCTCTGGGTCTGTTTCCAGTTTCTCCTTCCCTCTGGGAAGCAGTTCTTCTTCCTGCTTGAATAAGTGGTAGACATCTTGTAGTCATTAATATCCCAAAAGCAGGGGGTAAAGGAGCAGATTTTCAATGTGTCTCTGCTCACTTGATTTTGGATTACTACGAATCTCGGAGAAGTGGGAAGGTGAAATTTATGCTTCCTTGGTAACAAGTCACAGTTTTTTTTTTTTTTTTTTCCTTTGAGATGCTAAGAAGTTGTGATTTCATTTGCATGGGTTTACCGAAAACGTGTGTGGGGGGGGGGGAAGTTGTGTCCATATGTGATTTGATTAGTTACTGTTCCCAAAGCCATGAGTACACCTGCTCCCACCAAAAGAGACATAACTTTATCTAAAGCAGAAAAATGATCAAGAACAGTAATTGTTTTCAATACAGTAGCATGTCTTGGTTCAGGGATATTTTCACTTCTCAGATGTTTCAAGTCATTTGGCACTCAGCCTTCAAACTTGCTATTCATTTGGTCTCCAAATTCATGTCTCATAGCCACGTGACTATCTAATGTGCCATAAATAGAAACA